CCTATTGTTGATCAACAGAGCCGTTCCTTTCATGTCCTCATTTTCATTTTGCAGAAAAAACTAAACCTCAAGGAGGGCACAAACGAGATCGAGTTCAGCGTGACGACCGCCTACCAGGGAACGTCGCGCTGCAAGTGCTACCTGTACCGATGGAAACACAACGACAAGGTGGTGATCTCGGACATTGATGGGACCATTACGAGGTCCGATGTGCTGGGCCACATATTGCCGATGGTCGGCAAGGACTGGGCCCAACTGGGTGTCGCACAGTTGTTCTCGAAGATCGAGCAGAACGGCTACAAGCTGCTCTATCTGTCGGCCCGTGCCATCGGCCAGTCGCGACTGACACGCGAATATCTGCGCTCCATCAGGCAGGGGAATGTGAAGCTGCCCGACGGGCCGCTGCTGCTGAATCCCACCTCCCTGATATCGGCATTCCATCGCGAGGTTATCGAGAAGAAGCCGGAGCAGTTCAAGATCGCCTGCCTGTCGGACATTCGGGATCTCTTCCCCGAAAAGGAGCCCTTTTACGCCGGCTACGGCAACCGGATCAATGTAAGTGCCATGAATCAATCTCCCTTCAGTGACAGTCGCAGCTGACACCGCTCTTAAATCTGCTTTTCAGGATGTGTGGGCCTATCGGGCTGTGGGCATTCCCATAATGCGCATCTTCACCATCAACACCAAGGGCGAGCTGAAGCATGAGCTGACACAAACATTCCAATCCTCGTAAGTAGCGGGTGGAACCCAACTCCAGATCTGTCTATATGTTAGCTTGTAACTCCCATGTATCTGCATTATATATATGTTTCCGGTGTATTCCCCCCATAACTGATAACTGAACAACTCAAACTCATGCCACACATTCGATAATGCAAGCGATAACGATAAACGATAACCACAAGCCGCCTATCGAAGTCGCATTAACTCCATCATGTAACGCCAGGTGTATCGCCTTCACACCCGTGTGGAATGTATCCTCCTCTCCTCGCTCCTATGTCTGTGTAGTATTAATTGTACTACCCGCCTTCTCCTACTCAGCCGCACCCAACTCAATCAATCAATCAAACAATCAATCAATCGATCGATTCAAGCATTTTTCGGTTGTCAAATTTATACAGTGGCTACATCAATCAGTCGCTAGAAGTCGACGAGTACTTTCCCCTGCTCACCCATCACGATGAGTACGAGTACCGCACGGATGTGTTCGACGACGACGAGTTGGAGGACGAGCTGCAGTTCAGCGATGACTACGATGTGGATGTAGAGCCCGATATGAGTGACGATGACGATGACGATGACGATGCCCTCTACGATGATGATTTTGCCAATGAAGATGATGGCGAACCCGGTGAACAGTCGGCAGATGTTGGCATCATTATGCGAAGCCGACGAGTGTCGACCAAGAACGAAGTCGCGTTGCTGCCCACGAGCCGAGACCTAACGTGGCTCAATTCCCAGACCACATAACCTTATGACCAGAACCCTGCTCAAGTCCTTCCCAAAGAAGGTTGTGTGCAAGCAAGAATGACTTTGAATGAATTGTGATAAGAGTTTTCTGAGAGAACTATCAGGAGTGTGTCCTTGTCCCATGTTTGTTTTGTCAAGGCAGAAGTGAAACCCGGGAGCAAAGCTCCCGGAACAGAAAGTATTTTGCTCAGCAGTAGCAGATATAAATGTTTAGCTTTAAGGTGAAAGAGCGAAACGCCGAGAGTACCTTTTGGATATAGTCGTATCCTACTACATCTATAGCCATATAGCCATATACCCAATAAACGATATCAATATGATCGCTGTGATGGAAACCTTTGTTTTTGGTGGCTTCGAATCGAATTGTGCGAAATGTGGCATGAGTTTTAGGTGATGGAGTTCAGGAATACATTTATTGATCTTTTGTGAGCTGGATGCACACGTAATTGCAATATTTATATATCATAGCACACGCTTAGGCGCCCGATCATGCTCCCACATTGTGTGTTGCATACTCTTGGGAGGCGTACAAAATACCCCACTCGGATCACCCATTGCCTACTGCTTGGGGGCTTTGTTATGACGTTCTCCACTCACCCGATCCGTCTCTCTGTAATGTATTCTTCCAGATACTGCAGCATGACGTACATTGTCGATCAGCTATTTCCACCGGTGAAGCTCGACGAGGCCGCCGCAGAGTTCTCCAACTTCAACTACTGGCGTGACCCCATAGCCGACCTGGATATACCCGAGCTGGAGACGGCACTGGTGCCGCCGAGCCCCAACGTTGATAAAGCCACACTGCGACCCATTCCCGAGAAGTAGGAGAGAATACACCACTACACTACTACATAAATACATAAACATATGCATACCCCCACAACATCTATACTATATATATTTACAATATGTATAACTATAGCACTATAGAGCCTTAGAAATTCGTTTACCTAGCTTCAAACTCTAGATGTGCTTACCAAAAAAATACATGAAATACGACTATCGATATATCCTTTGCTTAAGCTTAACCAGGACTCAAGATAACCATGCCCATCACACCTTTTGAGTTACTTTATTTGATAAAAAAAACTTCTAGTTAATTGATTTCCCCTTATTATAAGTTCCTTTTGAGACTCGTGCAAGTTCTTACTAAGAGTTAGGATTGCTAGCTAACAGAATGCGTATTCCAAATGCCGGATTGGAGTTGTGATTTATGATTTCATTATGTTTCGTATGTGATTGCTTAAAATTAGTTCATTGTGATGACGATTATTATTTGGAGTTTTTCTGAAAACTATGCTTTATATTTACTACTACTACTACATAAATACGAGTATATTCAAATATGCCTAATTGATAGAGTTATTCAATATAAATAAATGCTTCAAATTTAAACAAAAACAAAAACGAACTTTTTCTGTTGCCAGCCATGGCTCTGGTTCTGGTATGTTTCCATGGAAGAGAATAACACCTGAACAACAGCTGACTATGCCCTGTGCCGCACTGGCACTGGCACCACTGTATCGTATCGCCAGTTCCCATGAAAAACTCAAATTGCAGTGGAAAATTTTCCATTGTGGGTGCAGAAATCGACAATGTCCATGATGGGGGTGAGAGAGACTCTGTGCGTTTTGCAGAGGGGGTCGGCCGATTTCTATTGGGAGCGTAATTTTGCCAATTCAATTAATGCTCATTTAATGCACGGCAGACGGTATGGTACCGCAGCATCCCAGCATCATATTGGCATACAAAGGCAAACACATAAACCACAAAGTGGACACTAAGTGAGCGCAAATGGACGTCTGACCACATATTCAGTGGCTGATCAGTGTAATTCCTCTGAAAGGGGTGCTTAACTGCTAAAAAAAATTAATTTTTAGTTGTATTTGTCCTACTATTTTCTTCACAATGCGAGCAACCAGTCCGCTTACAGGAGGCACGCATCCTGGGTTGAAGGCATTTCTGCCTGAGATTCGCAAATTGTGTAAAAGTAAAGGTTTCCATACACACTACTTTGGCTTTAATTGGATTATTCTGGAATGTTCTACTTGGCCCCCGTGTATCACAAACGACGCCTATGCCAAGTACTCGTAAGTAGGAAGATTTAGCTGTAGCCCAACTGCAGAGCACACATATAGCTGTTTATGATAATAATGCTCCAATAGGAGGGGGGGCCAAAAACAGCTGAGCGGACAGACATACTCTGAATGTGGCATACTCAAAATTATTGCAATTAGTTATTCATTTAATTAAGTTGTCTATACTTGATTTCATTTACAAAAACTAAATAGCTCAAAATAGTAATCCCAATATCCAACATATTTGTTACATACAAGCCCACTCATTCAGAAAGAAACCTGGCTGGTCTTTATGTATCAAGAGTTATCTTCAGTGAAGAGAGACATCTAGGATTATCCCTAAGAAACCTAAGCTAATTATTCTTTACCTATATAAAACCTTATGTTCATACATATGTACGTATGTCTAGGTTATAGTCTCCTTAGTTGAGCTCTACTTCAACAGAGAAAAAATATTCCATAATGAGGTTTAAATTATTCACAGTGAGTGCAACTCAATTGAGCGCCACTCGAAAACCGCCGCCCCCACAATTGAGTGCGGCCGTCCACATGCGGCGAAGGTATAAAAACCGCCGCCCGGCAGTCCACAGGCAACAGTTTCCTCTTGTAGAGCATACAGCAAACAGCCAGTTCGAAGCCGAGTCTAATTTTACAACACACATTCTAAATATGAAGAACGCCGTTGCCATTTTGCTGTGCGCCGTGATCGGTCTGGTGAGTAGCATCTAATGAGGATGATGGCCCATCATCTTATCCACTATTCAACAATCCCCAATCCATAACACAGGCCTCTGCCGCCGACGAGTACAAACTGCGCACCGCAGAGGATCTGCAGACAGTCCGCAAGGAGTGCGGTGAGACCAGCAAGGTGACTGAGGCGCTGGTGGCCAAGTACAAGACGTTCGAGTATCCCGATGATGAGATCACCCGCAACTACATCCAGTGCATCTTCCACAAGTTCGATCTGTTCGACGACACCAAGGGATTCAAGATCGACAATCTGGTGGCTCAGCTGGGTCAGGGCAAGGAGGACAAGGCTGCCCTGAAGGCTGATGTCGAGAAGTGCGCCGACAAGAACGAGCAGAAGTCCAGCGCCAACGCCTGGGCCTACCGTGGCTTCAAGTGCTTCCTGGGCAAGAACCTGCCCCTCGTCCAGGCAGCCGTCCAGAAGAACTAGGACCGTGGGAACACGCCGTCCAATTCTAGAATCTATCAAGGGAGCCATTCGGGCTCTGCAGTTTCTACAATTGAAAGAAAAGCCATATAATAAAGTGCTTGAATGAAAATGAAGTTTTGTTTATTCTCTCTTTATTTTTTTTACATTTCCTGAATAATTTATTTATTTGATGTTGCTGCTGACTGGTCTGGCCTCGGAGCAGTTACTGCTGCAGCTCCTGTTTCTATTTCTGCTTCTGGCTGGCTGTCGAAGGAGCCGGGCACTGGCATGTTTTCCCTTAATGTGTCCCGCCCAAAAGGAAAGGCGTTAACGCTTGCTTGTTTAATTCGTTTATATTTGTCATCTTGTTTCTTCTTCGTGACAGAAAAATGCAATCTTCTTTTCTTTTTCTTTACTCTATTTATATATTTTTTCGAATATATGCATTAACGTAAGACCGTAATTTCATTATTATTTTTCTGTTTTATCTATTTTGTGGTTTTCTTTTCTGGTTTCTTTTGTATCCCAAGTATTTTGTCATCTTTTAGTCTATTGCATTTTTATTCTTTTTTTTCATCCTTTTATTTACTCGAGTTATTGCCATCTTTTAACTTCTTTTCTTTTCGCTTGTGGTTGGTTTCTCTTTTAAATATATATTTTCTCATTTTTTAAACCACTTCTCTCGAGTTTGTCTTAATTTTTTTTGTTTCTGGATTATCTGGATTTTTATTTTCATTCGGTTTTTTGATTTTTTATTTGAAAATAAAAATATGTGAAAAGAGGGGTGTTTGGTGTTTGGGTGCTTCAAAAAACATTATAGCCAAGTCCATGTTGATTTTTTTGTAGATTTGTTTTCATCTTTTCGACTGTTTTTTTTTTGTAAATATATTTGCTTGCTGCTGTTCTTTTTTTTAAATTATTATTAAAACAATTCTTATTAATTTTTGTCTGTTATTTTCTCTTGTTTGGTATGTTTTCTCTCTTATTTTCTTTTATATTTTATTTGTTTTCTATTTAGCAAAGAAGTTTGGCAAAAAATAATGTTTTTTGAATAAATTGGTAAAAAAATCTGAAATCAAACATTGATTGTATTAAAGAAATGTTCAGTGTGGTCAAAGCAAATGCACGCATTATCGGACGCCCCATGCAGGCTGCAGGCATTGGCATTGATCAGGTTATAGCTATCAGTCGGTCCACTGCCAAGTGGAAGGTAGTGCAAAGTAGTCCCCCCCAATAGTTATCCCAGTGTCTGTTCAGAGTTTCAGTTCAGTTCGCACGTTTTTAATTGGTGGACTTACCTTACTAGTGGGTTCTATTTAACAACGATCAGTAGGGAGCATAGTAGTTGGCACGACCGCGGTAACCCCTTCTGAAACGAAACACAGACCGGAATTAGCGCCACTCCACTCGGGGGAACGGTTAGATAGATGACTGGCAAAGGCCACACACTTACATTGCTCGGCGAGCACCTCGGAAGGTCGAGTGACAGCAGGCCCTTGATGCACGAGCTCCTCGCCCCCGGAAGCTGCCGCGGGCAAAGCGATTTGTGGTGGAGAGGCCAGGGCGATTTGTGCGCTTTGACATGACCTAAAACAAGATACAAATTTTATTTCCAATATTCGAAAGAGTCATGAGGGCAGGCTTTCTCTTACCTTGATCTGTCGTCCTCTGAACAGGGTTTCGTTCATGGCCAGGGCCGTCTCAACGAACTCCTTTGAGCCAAACTCAATGTAGGCAAAGCCCTTGGGATGGCCGTCAGCCTTGTTGCACAGGATTGTTACCCGGTTGATGGTGCCGCATCCATGGAAATGTGCCTCGAGCTCCTCCGCAGATGCCCCGTAGTCCACATTCCCCACATAGACGGACCTCGTGTCAATCTCCTGCTTCTCCTCGAGGGAAAGCGGTACTGCGGCTAGACCGGTTGTGGACCCACCGGCCATTTGTTTGTCCACTTCAGACTGCATTTGCTTTATTTTTTCGGCCTCCTCCTCCATCTCTTTGACACGGGCCTTGATGGCCTCCAGTTCGGGATCGATTTGCATGCTGCCTTCCTCCTGTGTTCCACAATTGTTTAATAGGAAGAATACAAAAATTGGTTAGCTGTATTAAGACTGGCACTTCTGGAACGCCCAAAACTTTGCAGACAATGAATGGAGACAGACGCGCAACGAACGGCGCTTTGAAAATGGCTGCCGTTTTGGCTTTGAGCTTTGTGCCGACCGAAGCTTTTCGCGAGAAATTCTGTGCTTTTGCAAGGCGAATAAAAAACTCGTTTGGCTCTGTCGAAGCCTACTTACCTCAGTCTCTGTCACAATTTCAGTCTCCTGCTCGCCATTAGTCTCTTCCATCGACTCCAAGAGCTGGTCCTCGTTCAGTGTGATATCTTCATCAGCCATTTCTTGTGCTAAGTTTTGTTACTGGTTTTGTTTACGTTCAGCAAGCTTTCGACTCTGCGCGTAAATTCTCTCAGCGGCTTCTGAAGTACGGATAATATCTTAGCTCACTGTTATTGAGAGAGAAAACGAGAGAGACAACGAGAGAAAATTGAATTAGTAATCTTTCGACACAAATATTCAGTTATTGGCCTATTTTGGTTTATCGCTCAAAAGAATTGCACAATGCCAGAAAGAACTGCACACGGCGTGGCGCTTTATCAGTTAACAACTCACGTAGGAAAATTGTACAAAGGGTGCTGACGTTTGCCTGTGCTCAAAATGGCCGCTGCCCAGTCTATTCGACGCACGCACTGTACAAAATAATATTTGTAGATTATGCCTAGATAGCGACACTCTTTGACTGTGCTCCTGGGTTTGTTCTCAGGCTACGCAACTAATTCACAAAGTTTGAAAGTGCGCAATTTGCTATTATTTACAAAAAAACACACGAAAATTTTACCACCGAAAATATATTCATTCGGCCTCGTTGTTAGGGATGATGTTGAAATATATCGAATATTTTAGTTGTCGATTTGATTTTTTGTTTCTTCTCTAGGTCACACACCATGATAATTTCTTAGAGATGCGCGTTTTCTTATCAAATACAATCATCCCTGTGTAGAAAACGTGTAACACATGCGTAGTTACCGTGTAAAAATAGTTTATTTTGTTGACCTTTTTTGTTTGCAGAATATTTTAAAAACAATCAAATGAAAGAGGATAATTTAAACTAGCCAGTCTTGTAGAAAAGTGAATAATTTACCGTATACAAGGTTGTATGTTCAAGGGTGAGGGGCCCAGCTTAATGGTAAAACTAAACCAAATATCAAATACGAGGATCGTGGACGACTTTGGCCATGTGTAATTTGTGCATTAATTGGAGATTCTAAACTAAATGATGAATGATTCGGATTCTGAGTACGAGGAAACTGAGTACTTGGTGTTTGCGGATTTTAAAAACCAATTGCCACCCCACCTGCTAAAGCACGAGAATGCTGCGATTAAAATTATAGGAGTGGAGAGCGACAAACCCATGGCCGAGGTAAATGGCAGCATTTACAAAGGCACCTACGAGCAATCCACGGGGACGAATGTTTTTTTCGAAAAGGACACGGAACGTTCGCCGGCTGACCCGCTTTTCGAGACAGCCTGTCGACAGAAGTACAAATACCTGGACAAGTCCGACAAAGTAATTTCCTTTGAGCGGGTTTACGTAGAGAAATTGCCGGTAGAGACTGAGAAAGCAACAAAGGCACAAGGGACGCCCATTGCCGAAGACACGGACACGCCACAGACAACGAAACTGAATATCAACTATAAGGAAGCAATAAATAAGTTCGGAGAGGAGCATTAACTTTGGTATGCCTGAGGTGGCCCACACCCGAACACACGAATCATTATAGCCCGCCCTTTCATTTTGTAATTTTAGCGCCATGGAAATGTATCTCGAGACGCTGGAACGACCCATACATCTGCGTTCTTTTCTATCCGACTACCAAGAAAAACTGCCCAAAGCTACTGACGGGACTGAGGAAGTGCCATTCTTTTTCTCCGCTGCCTCGCCGGTGTCTGAGGATGTGGAGAAAAGTTGCTCATTGGACTTGATTTCATCGCCAGACGAAAACTGTATAAACATATTTCAGCCCGGCGATGATATCACTCGCTTAAATATAGTTAAACCAGGGACAGACCGGGATGGGCCCAAAGTCTACACAGCCCTCAGCGCGCACAAGGAAAACACTCGCAAGAATGCCTTTGGGCGTACCCAATTTAGCTACAGACTGATCCCACCACCGCCCGCGAATAATAGTGTTCCCGTGGCCAGGCAACTCGATTCACCAGCCGAACTACAGATTACAGTTCGCTTCTATCGACCGGCACGGGCCACGCATAAAGGACTGAAGTTGGAGAGCCCCGTATTTGCTGAGGAGTTTGTCTGTCTTGGCAGCAACTATCTCACGGAGCTGCGCGACAAGATCTTCTGCATCTGCAATGGCAAGCGTTTCGTGGACATTAGCAATGACCCGGATGCGCCTTTGCCACAGCTAGAAACCAACCCGGGCTACTTCTTCATCTACGATACCTTTTATAACGACAAACGCAATCCGGAGAATTACGATTACTCGGAGACGGTGATCCAGTGGGCCGCAAAGGCACATGGCTTGCAGGGCGAACAGTTCAAGGTGGAAAAAATGGAGAGCACACGCCTAATCGACCTCACTGTAAGACCAGGAGCACCTCTGCACTACCTGCACCATGGAAACTGCGAACACCTGTTTGTTTTCTCACAAATTGAAGTTCTGCCAGCCAACGTCAGCCGCCAGCTGGACCCCAGCTTATATCCGCATGTGCGCGCCCTAAATATCTTCAATCGACGCAGCTGTTATCTGTGTGGCCTTCGTGGCTACGAGTTCATTGTCGAGCAGTCGCTGCGGCAGCTGCACGATCCCTCGTACCTGTGCCGCAGATGCTTCCTCAGTTTTCACTATGTGAACGGCGAGAAGGTGGGCCAGTTCAAGGCCTATCGCATATACGATCGTCCCGAGTCTTTGGACGAAGATGGAAAGGCCACAGAAGATGTCGAAGATGCCATAGATTTAGATTCATCATAAGATGTGATTTCGTTGTATTTTTGGCTTGGTTTTTTATTTGCGAACTCTGTAGACAGCAATACATTCAATGAGTGTTATTCGATCGATATATTTTTATAGTTTTAAATAAAATACATACACAGTGTAACAAGAGTAATTGTAATTGGCTATAAACAGATTGGATGCAGTTTCAAGCCAAGCTGCCTAAATACCGATCGGTGCAACCATATCTAGATTAGCAAAAAGATTTCTTTGTGTCGGATGCTAGGAATCAAAAAATGCGAATACTTGTACGTACAATAATACATCTGAGTTATCTGAGTCTGGCTTAAGGCTAAGGTTAATACATTCACTTCACGTTTAGTGGCTTGAATTTCGTAATATTAGGTAGCTGTTTTGCTGTTGTACAGAATAGTACACATTTGACCAATCAATCTAGTGCGGCTTTTCGGCCAATAACATATAGGTACGCTCGTATCCTAGACACGATTGTTGGGGGAGGGAGCGAGGTGTACTTATAATTATGTATATCAAATACAGTAAAAGCATTCACACCACAATCGTTTCGTTAAAGAATTCGGTGCGCTTAGTAACTTTGGAGCAAAGAGAAATGCATCAAAAAAACATACATATGGCCAACATTGAATCTGCATTTGCATTTGCATTTGCCTTGCATTTGCCCAATAAATATCATTAACTGTCTCGTCACCCTCTTTGGTTTGCCTTCGTTTAACTTCCGTGTTTAAAGCTATAACCAGCAGATGCTCTGCGCTGCATCTGTACTTAGCTTTGAAAGACCAACTCGCGCTCAACGGACAAGTATTCGCGCATTTTCACTGGCACTGGCAGCTTGGCCAGCTGTTCGGAGCTCATTTGCCGCTGGAGGACACGCCGACACAGGTCTTGCAGCTTGGGCATGTTCGAGTATCGACTGAGTGGGTACTTTAGGATCACCGGAAAGGGCGGCTGCATTTCATTGGGCACCTTCACGAAGCACACAAAGTTATCGTTGGTGCAACGATGCAAAATGTCCTCGATCATCTCCACAATCGACTCGTACTTGAGCTCCTCAAAGTTCCAGAACTCCTCCTTATACTCGAGGCGGTAATGCAGCGTTACGTTGACAATGCGAAAGCTCAGCGTGAACTGGGATCCGCTGGTCTCGGAGTCGCGCACCAGAAACGATCCGGTCGGCTTGTCACTGAGCTGGCGCTGCGCATCTCGCCTCGAAATCTCGCCCCAGTACCAAACTTGACTGAAATGCAAATGAGGACACAAAGACAGCGTGAGTCATCATCGATAATCGAATGAAGAGTCTAAAATGGTGCGCTTACTTGAGCATCTCCAGACAGGCCTTGTACATGACCTCGTTCGGGGTGTCCAGTCGCTCCAGCCATTTCTTCTGGATGAAGCGCAAATAGTCGTGTGTGAATGGCAATGTGGGCTCAACGAAAATTGACGGTGTAAGGAACTCGTAGGTGGCGTCGGTGGTGCCTCCGTCACAGTCGGAGTCGCCCATTGAGTTCCAGTTTCGCAGCGAGCTAAAGCCCTGACCCACCTTCCTTCGTAGACGTGAGAACACATTTCGTTTATCCTTGCGTTTGCGTAGCGTCCCCCCGTTGCTGTGGCTGCTGGCGCTGCCAATGACCATGGATGCATCCCCACTGGAGCTGCCAGCTGCATTTGAGACACACACTTCGTTGTTGTTATTCTGCATCTGAGTAGATGAGTGGGCCACAGCGTCGCTGGAAGTTGGCGAAGCGACCAATGCTGAGTCCGACTTTTTGCGCCTGGTCAGGGAATGAAACCAACTTCGTTTTTCCTTTGTTGAATCCACAGAGCGCTCCCCCCCATCGGCGCCCTGATTCTGGTTATTTTGGCTGTCGTCGCCGTTGCTCATTTTGGAGTTGGAATCGAACTCTCGTGTCGGTATCACATCATTAACCTAATCGGAACTATGATTAAAGCTACTTAAATTTATTGATAAGAATTTGTTTTCGTTGGAACTACAATAAATACACAAGAATGACAGGTATCGGTATGCAGGCCTGCATTTTTATCGATACCAATAGTATCGTGCTTTCGTAATATCGGTTTTAGCTAGTGTTTTTTAATGCCAAATTCAAACTTTATATTAAAGTTAAACCCTCTGACTAATTAATTTGAAAAGTTACCTTACATGAGAGTCAGACAGTTAAACTAAGACCAAATTAATATTTCGCTAGCGAAAGCAGGGGTGCTTTTTGCTGTGGAAACGATAAGAAGAAGATTGACGGCATCGGCATTTTCCAATTTCAAAGGCTGAAATAAATAAAATCATGGAAGCGTTTACCATGAAAATAGACCTTACTAACTTCTTCAGGGACGAGCGGCAGCACGCATTGATATTGATTGACAGCGCGTGGAAAAATGTAGAGGATGTTCAGCACCACATCCAGAACCTCTTCAATCTGGTATGCAGAAACATAAACAAAACATTTTGTTTGTTCACACTCACAGATATGTCTCTTGCAGAGAAATATACGTTTGCTGACCAATTCTGGATATTTTCTGCCGCCCAAGGAGTCCCTTAGAGTTCTAACAGATGCTGATGGATTGAAGTAAGTAAACCAAAGTCGTACCGACTTTGTGACTAAAAGCGTTCCGATTCATTGTAGGGCCTTCACATTTGAGGAACCGCCGCCCGCCAGCGGCGTTGAGGCAGGAAGCACGAAGACTAGCAACAAGCGCAAGAAGTCATTCGATGAAGCAGAGAGCTCACGCCACAGCCCTCCTTGGGAACAGCCAAAGCGTTCTAAGCACGGAAAGAAATTGACTTGCCAAGCAATTTCTCTGAATGCCACAACTGAAACTCCCGCTTTGGGAAACTCATTTGTTACCTGTAACACCAGTGAAGCCGAAGAGCCACTCTGCAACTCCACTATAAATGAGTCCAAGCGTTTTAAACAGAAAAAGAAATCCACTTTGCAGGCAATTTCTCAGAATGACTCCACTGATGAAAAGGTGAATCCGTTATTGGAAGCAACAACCTGCAAAAACACCACAGAAGCTGAGGAGCAACTCTCCAACTCCCCTTTGAATAAGTCGAAGCGTTGTAAGCAGAAAAACAAATCCACTTCACAAGCAATTTTTCTGATTGGCGCATGTGATGATAAGTTGAACCCTTCATTGGATGCAACAAACTGCAAAAACACCACAGAAGTTGAGGAGCAACTCTCCAACTCCCCTTTGAATAAGTCGAAGCGTTGTAAGCAGAAAAACAAATCCACGTTGCAATCAGTTTTTCTCAATGCCACAGTGGATGAAAGGGTTACCCCTGACACCAGTGAAGTAGAGGAGCAACTCTCCAACTCCACTGTGAATAAGTCAAAGAGTTTGAAACAGAAAAACAAATCCACGTTACACGCAATTGACACTAAGATGATTCATTCATTAGATGAAAAAAACTGCAAGAACACCAGCGAAGCTGAGGAGCAACTCGCCAACTGCACTTTAAATAAGTCAAAGAGTCTGAAACGGAATAAAAAATCGACCTTGCTTCAAATTACAACACATAACGCGACGAATGATAAGGTTCCAACATTAGAAACAAATGAAACCAATGAGCCTTTGCTCCAATACATCCCCCAATGGGATCAGTCAAGTTCGAATGACGATGAAAACAGCAAAACAGAACCACCAGCCGAACGTCTACCCCAAAATGTCAGTCGCCTTGGTCTTCACGTTGTCCAAACCCCTGCCCAGTCAATTGAGACACAAGAGCCAGAAGCAAAGGAAAATAATTCAACATTAGTGGTCCCTGAGCCGCCGCCAATTTCTTTTCGCTGCCCGCTAATGGAGCTGGACCTTAACAAAGTACGCACGCACCAAATTTCCTTTAAAGCGAAAACCGCTCAAAATGTGCCCGGAAAATCGGTGACAGAGCAAACGGATTCCAATGAACACATCAAAGTGGCTACTCCCGAAGCTGCTAGGCAAGAACCTGCTGCTCCATTGAGCGTCTTCGATGAAATTTCAACCATAGATGAGGCTGAAGAAGATCCAGAAGCGGAAGTGAAAGCTTTGGCACTTTCAGTGGATGATAAAATGCTTCCGAGACGTGTTTCTGGCGACACTATAAACTGTGATTCCGACGACGATGTCATGGTGCTTGATGACAGCAGTGTGGATTCGGATGTGGAAGTGTCCCAAATTGTACCAGCAAATGGTAAGCAATAAGCAATTATATTCAACAATTATATTGAACAAATATATTTTAAGACTCTCAAATGAATGATTCTGCTCTGGAAATGTTTGCAAACGCTTCTCCGCTAACGGATTTGCCAAAAAGGGGCGACACAATACTCTTTAAGCTAAGGAAAATGAAGACCTCCTTGAGCTCTGGAGTAACCGGAGTTATAACTGCCAGCTGTACCTACATCAATCGTCGCACAAAAGCCATTTCAATGGAAGTAATATGTAAGAGAAGTTTCGCTCCGTATTTCTGCACAGTTTGAATTGCCAATTTTCTCTATCCTTGCAGCATATCCTCCACGCAATCGTGGTGTACTGAGTCAGTACTCAAACAGTTTGGACGACTCAAGCGACGACGATACACCTTCTTTAATGGTCAATATGTCGGATCTGATTGAAGCAAAGCTCCGTAAAAAAAGTTAAAGATTAAGTTCTGTTGTTCTATTTTCATAGCATTGTAAATTATATAAACAATCAAATAACATGCATTTGCCGTGCGATTCTTCACTTGGTGTAGTCCTGTAGTTTCGCCAACAACTCGTCGGCCTCTTCCCCAGTTTTAACGCGCAGCAGAATCGACACAACTTTGGTGTCCTCCGGCATGGGCAGACTCATGATCATTACATTGTTTTTGCCCATGCGTTGGCAGGGCAGGCCATTGCCGACCATTAAATTGATCAGGACCTGACCAATATTGTTGTCGGCACGCACAATCAGCTGCGCCTTCGCCGAGTCCTTGACGGGCTTCAAATGCAACATGCCCACTCCGCGATCCGCATAGTCCGCTCCCTTCATAACGAACACTTTGCAGCGTTTTGAGTAGACTGCATCCTCTTCGACAACCTGCAAAAGATCAATGTTTTATGGCCAGTTTTATGGGGATTACTTCACTGTATTTACCTGCTTGAACTCTACTTTCGGTGGCTGGTCCTCTTCATCCTGGTCCTCCGCATTGCCAGCGGACTCTGCAGCTGCAGCTGGCGGCTTTATATTGCCAAAGGAGAACGGTGTGGCTCCAGGGGTAAATGAGAAGCTAGTCGAAGGCTTGGCATCTCCTCCAGCCGGTCCAGCGGAGCTGCTGAATCCCGCAAACAGCGAGGAACTACCTCCAGGTTTGTCATCGCCGCCACTCTTGAAGCCAAAGCTGAAGCCATTTGTTTTCAGTGGCACGTCGGCCGTTTCTGCCTTGCTGCTAGAATTATCCTTAGCCCCAAGGCTAAAGAAGCCTGGCTTGGATACATCCTCGGTTTTACTCTCCCCCAAGGGCTTTGGCGAGAAGCGCATCATGCCTGGTGCGGTAAGGGGTGTTTTCGTGGACGCTGCTGCTGCATTGGGAGGCTCAGCTGGAGTGCTGCCAAAGGAGAACATCGGTGTGGTTGTAGTGGTCGCCGAGCTGCCGCTGGTAATTGTACTGGAAGCCGGCTTCTTGGCGAAGAACGGCGACGTCGAGCCAGTGCTGGGAGTTGCAGGTTTGCCAAAGGAAAACGTTTCTGTATTAGCGACTGTTGTTGCAGCTGGGGTGCTCCACGTCTTGGGAATAGCTGCAGCTGTAGCTGGAGCCTTCAATGCCGTATTTGTGTTAGTTTTGGCACTGTCCTCGTCCTGGAGTTCCTTCAGATGCTCGTCATATTTCTTGAATACTGGGGTCAGTACGCAGTAGGGACTTTTGTCCAAGCTTTCTGTCAGAAACTTCAGCAGTGCCCGGTTCAAGTCGGCCACATTCTCGCGGTACTCAGATGACTCTGTGCTAGAGGCTGCTGCCTTGCCGGGCGATGGCTTGGCGCTGGCTGGCACGCTTATCACGCTGCCATCTTTTTTGGCAGCCAAACTCTTGCCGTACATTGAGCTGCTTGTATTGGAACCGTCAGTTGTACTTGTGCAGACCTTTACTGTCGCTTTTCTAGCCCCAAACGAGATCGATGGTATGTTGACGTCTTTTTTGGCTGGAGACACGTTCCCGAAAATTGAAGTGGAAGCAGTGGTACTTGGTGTCGGGGCTGCCTCTCCAAGGGACGATGAGGGTTTGGCGTTATCTTTTTTAACAGCTGACGCGTTGCCGAATATAGAAGTGCTTGGTGCAGATGTTGATTGCTTTACAGGCATTGTGGCGCTTCCGAAGGAGAACGAAGGAATGGCGGCGGCATCTTTTTGGCCCGCTTGCACGTTGCCAAAAAATGACGTAGTAGTACTGCTGGCCGACGAAGGTTTGGCATCTTTTTTTGCAGAATAAACGTTACCGAAAATTGAAGTGGTTCCCGATCCAGCGCTGGTACTTGCCGCGGAGCTGCTACTGCTGCTGGCAAGGGTCTGCAAAGGTGCAGCCGCCGCTTCGCCATCTGGCTTTGTATTGATTTTGCTGGAACTGGACAAAAACGAAAATGTGGCCTTTGGCGCTTCGCCACTTGTAGATGCCGGCGCCGGATTCGATAGGTATGCAAACGGCGAGCCTGCAGCCGATGCGTTAGCCGGCTTGCCAAAACCTGTATGCCCCATTAAATACAACATTATAGATGATCAATAAAAGCTTTTTGCAGTTGCACTTGCCTGAAAATCCACTGAAAATGCTTTTCGAAGTTTCCCCGCCGCCGTCACCATCCGTGGACGCACCGGCAATGGATCGGCGCGCCTTCTTGATAACGCGTGTTTTCAGCTCCTCCTGTGTTGCCGTCTTAAAAATGCCACGGTCCTCGGGCTCCTCCTCCTGGTCCCAGTTATCATGGTTCAGATTTGACGTGGCTTGCCGCTTCCCAGCCATTTTATTGCAAAATTGTTTTGATAATGCGAGAAAAACGCGAGGAAAAAAATGATATAGATTTTAGTTGGCTTTCAGTGCAGTGTGGAAGCGGAGCTATCTTTTAAATATATACCACCCTCAAAAATATACCGAATATATTGTTCACATGTGACAACTATATCGATAGTTGATGCACATCGGTAAAGAAGGTGCCATCACTTGCGGCTTGCGCCATATTTATACAATCTAGTGAAATTTGGGTGAAATGTGTGTGTTCGTATTAGACATCAAATTGAATGACTAGTGCAAAAGTAAAACAACTTGCATACAAGCATGTTTTGATTTCAAGTATATCGTTATTTAATGCAGTATATTTCTGATATATTAGCTCTGACGGTTACACGGTATATTTTATGCATAGACCAACGGTCACACTGATCACTCCATTGAGACGCCAGCAGCACAAAAATCGCAATAAAACAAAATAATTATTTTTATTAAGCGCTCGAAAGCCATTAATTATGTTCCAAGTGCAATTGTGCAAGTGCTAGATCCAAAATGTGGCACACAGTGAACTGCCGTGAAAATGCAATGCGCATTTCTCTATTCCAACGCTAATTGCGCTGCTGCTGCCCATAGTACCAAAAAAAAAATCAAATCGCGGGGAAGAGAGTGCTAGGATGATGAGAAGACCCAGTGCGTAAATATGTTGTGATACGTGTGAGTGTGTGACTCTCAGTGCAAGGCAAGGGAAAGTGTAACTCAAATAATAATACTAGTAATCCAAAGGCTGGGCCAGAGCCCAGACCAGAAAGTGAACAAATATAAATACGAATTCGCTCCTCTCCACGAAAATAGAACACTACGTTCGCGCACCTACACACACACACTCTCAAAAGGCACGCATACTCGCATACCTAACGGCAGTCGTTGCCCATCGAAGAGGCGTTATCCTTATTCTTGTTGCTTGCTGCTGCCTGCCTGCCCCTGGTGCCATTCGTTTTGATCCTTTCTTTGTCGCTTCTCGCCACAAGGCCAGCAGCAGCAGCAGCACGGCAGCTGTGCCTGTGCCGTGTGTTCGCGCCGTGCCGTGCCCCGAAGTTTCTATTCGTTGCTTCCTTCCCTCCCTCCATTGCCATCGCGCTCGTACTCGCTCCGCGTGCATGTCCTTGGGCGTAAAGTGCCGTTCTTGTTGTTGTTGTCGTCGTTCGATTCGTGTCCGAGAGTGAGAGCCAGCCGAAGCCGAACAAGATGCCGCCAGCACTGATAGCCATATCCGAGTTCGTGGAGGAGACGCGCTCCGATTACAGTTCTCCCACCACATCCACCTTCGCCTCGCGAATGCCGGACTGCCGCCAGACGATTGGCATTCTGGAAGAGGTAAGCTCAACAATAATGATGACAGCCAATTATTATAAATAAATCGACGTATTACCTGGAAAAGTGATAAGTGTAGTGGGTTGTTACGCCCAAAGAAGGGGCGTCGGCGTCTCCAAATAACGATTAGAGCAACAAAAAAGATTTCTACAAATTGGCTCGGCGCCAATTTGTCTCTCTCTCTCTCTTGTTCTCTACATCGCGCGCGCGCTCTCTCTCGCTCTGCTGCGGCTGCAAGGTGGTTTTGCTTTAACGTGGAACGCGGCGGGACCCACTAAATGCATTCTTAATTAAAGCAACACAGCTGCTCGGGTCTGGAGTGGGAGTGGGTGCCTCTGCCACACGATTGTGCTGCAATTTCTATATTTAGTCATCGCAGCAGCTGCTGTTGCTGGTGCTGCTGCTGCTGCTGCCAGTGCGTCGGTCCCCTCCCCATTTCCACCGCATTGATAAACCAAAGTACAACAAATACATGGCAAAGTGGTGTTTGCGGGGCCGGAAAAGGCGTGTGATAAGAAAACGAAATGACAGAAGCAACCACATTGATTAGTCAAGGCTTAGTACTGGCTAATGGGAATGGCTGGGGGTGTGGAAAAGCGCTCACTTATCACCACACACCACAGAAAGTGGCCAAGTGGCTGTTGCTCAAGTGGAAAATTCATCCCATTTGTCATTTAAGCAGAAGCCCCGCACCAAAGTGTGTGACTGGCTATGGAAATTATGCAATGTCTGGCTGTAAAATGTGCCACAGCCCCTCCTAGGGTCTTCTCATGGGGGATAGGATAGGGAGTTTCCATCTCCCGAAACAAATTTAGCACTCGGCCCCTGGCACTCCACACATTTGATAATTGGAGCCAAGAGAGCTGCTGGTCACGTCACGTCACGCCTTCTTGGGGCCGGACTCAACATCAAACATTAAATATTTAATTTTGCTGATGGATTTTAGTGTGTCCCCGTCGCAGTGGCAGTCGCGTTCCCCCCAACCCAGTGACCCCCATTCCGCCAAACACACAGACGGTTGGTCGGGTTGGGTGTTACTTTATTTCCATCTCATTTCATTTTTTCGCTTCAGCTTTTGTCTCTTGTCTCTTGCGTGTTCCGTACCGTTCTCCATTCCCCCGTTCCCCGTTCCCTTTTCCCGTTTTTCGTGTCTGTAAATCTTTCTAAAATTAAATTAAATATCAGCTTTTGTGTAGATTTTTATCTTATTTTCCCCTGCAACTGCAAATTTTGTGCCACTAATGCATTAGCCAAGTGTTAGTCATAGGCAGACAGAGTTAGGACTCTTGCTTATTCCACATAAATTAACATATTTGCGGTGATCCATAAACCATGTTGCGGGTTAGCTGGCCTTTGATTCACCTTTGATTCGGTATA